TAGGTTTGCTTTTGATTTATGCATAAAATACTGAATAGATTTTGAAAATAATAAAATTGAATAATTCCACAAATATTCATATACTCTACGGAATGATATGAAGTCTAGGGATGAGACGATTGATAAGATAACTATTATGACAAATATAATGAGCCACACATTGAGTTGAAAACATAGGAAGTATGCGAATAATTGGTGAGCACCGGAAGTTTCTCGGGACAGAATGGATGCCACTTCAAAGTAGTCAATACAGTCGGTGTGATTGAGATGTATGTCCACCATTTGGATACTTTGAGTATATTTGATGAACTGACTGGCGGTCACCGGGTAGGCCAACACATCAATAGGTGTTTGCATTGCATTTTCAATGATTTCAAGAGCAGATTTGGCATGACTTAGAAATTTTACTCTGAAATATATGCATTTTATTTTATTTTAAAATAACCCTGTTAAATGTTAACACTTACCTTGATTTAGTCATTTTAGCCAACTCTACGATTATCAGGAATATAGGCCCACATATTTCGTATTGAGTTGTATTGAGTATTTCATAACTAAAAAAGTTTTATAATTATTAAAATAGTAAAACAATTTAAAAAGTATTGTTACGAAAGATAAAGGTATGGATCCTTATCGGCCGGTTGGACCACAATTGTTTGGTTAGCAACTAAATCATTTGAAAAACTATACGGCTCATTTGCCGTGTATATCATACAGTGATTTGAATTCATGATTGTTTTGTAGTTTAGTTTGTATGACATTCACATATAAACTGTTTTTTACAATCTCTAATAATTATTTACACGTAATACATAACATAAGTATTTTTTGCGTTAATTAATAAATAATAATATGGTGCACTAAAGACTTCAATGCAAAATATTATAGATCAATAAAATAGTTAAATTATAGTACAGTAATCATTACAAGAAATAATAACTGAAATTATAATAAGTATTTTCTGTAATTACATATTTAAATAATTTTTATTACTGTACTTGTACTCTAATTGAAAAGTGAAATAAAATTATATAAGTTTATATAACTTATATAACTTATATTCAATGCAATAAATAATAAAAATACTTTTGTATGTTTTAAAAAATTCTTTATTTAATTAATTGAAATTTTCAAAAAAGAATTTGTTACTGTCTACTATTAGACATAAAAAATCCAGAAAATTACCATTTATTGAGTATTATTATTAGTCTACCGTAATACAATTGACCAATCCAATAAGCGTTTAATAAATTATTAATGCCAAAGCGCCAAAGTGGCCAAACCCTACATTAATACATACATCGGTCGATGCGATACACGAAACGCCAAAATTGTCGGTAAAATCGATAACTTTTTGTTTTATGATTTAAATGGCGTTGAAATGAACGACTGTTTTAATCACGAGATTCTCGTTTGTATTTAATGTCACTAACGATTCACTAAATTAATAAAAATCACTAAATTTCTACGAGTATTTGTATTTTATAATAAATTGTATATATTATTGTAAATTTTATTGCATAAAAAAATTTCATAACTTCTCTATTTAACAATATGATTTAACAGTATAAATGCTATTATTTAAAAACTTTTTAATCGTAATATAAGGAAAACAGCTATTTGTTTGAGAAATACATTGTTAATTATATGCAGGTTTAACCTGGACAATTCTCCACTTTTTCGTAAGAAAATTCTTACGATTCTTACTTTTCATTGATTTAAACTTATTCTCCCTTATAATGTGTGAATCAAATATAGCACTTATAATGAACTCAATTGTTAAAACTGCCACTGATATGAAAACGCCAGCAATTAATAAGTAAAACAAATCAAATAAGTTATCCATTGATAGTGTGTTATATTCACATAAAACTCGTTTTTTCTTTTTGTCAATTTCTCCCAAACTTTTGCGATTATAATTGAGTACATCTGATTTGGGAAATATTGATAAACGGAAAAGAAAACGCTTTCATGAATATAATTGCTTATCATTGGATAACTTATATGATTTGTTTTATTTACTGATTGGGGGCACTATTATGTCAGTCACCGGATATTTATTTGAAATATTTGTGAACAAAGAGAAAATTTTTATTTATTTTGTATTTCACTTAAGCTTTAGAGATTTAATTCATTATTTGCAATTAAAATGTTAAAACTCAATTAAATGATAAATTTTAAAAACTTGTATCAATACTTTACTACATAAAAATGGTTATTCATTAATTATTAAGCCATAGTTCATAAATAAAAATAAGCCTGTAAACTTTAAATAGGCTATATTTACTTAATTTCCCACTAATTGTGTACAATGTATTTTTTATAAATAGTTAGTTTAATTAATTAAGTACACCATACAGTATACATGAATTAGTAAACATTACAATAATTTCATGGTCTCATAAGTACTGTACAGTTACTTTATTTTATAAATAAAACATTTAATATTCATTAAATTATGAAGATTGCAAAGAATTGATTTTGAATATATTATATTTACTACCCTAACACTAAAAGATAAATTGTTTACGTTGAATAAATTATACTTATGTTATGTATTACGTGTAAATAATTATTGGAGATTCCGTTATATAAAAATACAGTTTATATGTGAATGTCATACAAACTAAACTACAAAAAAAATCATGAATTCCAATCACTGTATGATATACAAGGCAAATGAGCCGTATAGTTTTTCTACTGATTTAGTTGCTAACCAAACAATTGTGGTCCAACCGGCTGCTAAGGATCCATACCTTTATCTTTCGTAACAATACTTTTTAAAATGTTTTACTATTTTAATAATTATAACACTATTTTTTAGATATGAAATATACAATACATCTCAATACGAAATATGTGGGCCTATATTCCTGATAATCGTAGAGTTGGCTAAAATGACTAAATCAAGGTAAGTGTTAACATTTAACAGGGTTATTTAAAAATAAAATAAAATGTATATATTTCAGAGTAAAATTTCTAAGTTATCCCAAATCTGCTCTTGAAATCATTGAAAATGCATTGCAAACACCTATTGATGTGTTGGCCTACCCGGTGACCGCTAGTCAGTTCATCAAATATGCTCAAAGTATCCAAGTAGTGGACATACATCTCAATCACACCGACTGTATTGATTACTTTGAAGTGGCATCCATTCTTTCCCGAGAAACTCCCGGTGCCCACCAATTATTGGCATACTTCCTATGTTTTCAACTGAATGTGTGGCTCATTATATTTGTCATAATAGTTATCTTGTCAATGGTCTCATCCCTAGACTTTATATCATTCCGTAGATTATATGAATATCTGTGGAATTATTCAATTTTATTATTTTCTAAATCTATTCAGTATTTTATGCATAAATCAAAAGCAACTCTATTATTGCATATATGGTTACTATCGGTGTTAATACTGTCCATACAATTCACAACATATTTATTGGATTATATGGTGAAAGCAATACCGGATCTCTCAATAGACTCTTTGACTCAATTATCCAAATCTCATCACAAGATAATACTTCGTGACGACAGCGCACTGTTAACTAACCAACAATTTAAACATCGTTTTGAACCCTACACTGAATACAGTGAAACACTGGAGTATAAAATATTAAAAGGTCTCACCAGTGGATCACATGTGTTTGTTAACCAACGTTTACAGATTATATACTTAGCCATCATTTTAAATAAAATTCAAGGAATGGACACAAATGGGCGACAATTAATAGATTCATTGCATGTCTCCGAAGACTCCGGTGGTATTGAACCGTATTTTATGTTTGTTAACAACGCCTCCCATAATTGGATTTATAAATCACTGAATAAAATGTATAATTTGTTTATAAAAATTAATTTTGTATAATTTATAAATTAATTACACATTTATTGCAGTATTAGAGGGTCGCGTGAATCGGGTTTATATAACCAATGGATAGCAGATGTACTCAATTATAATCGCAAAAGTTTGGGAGAAATTGACAAAAAGAAAAAACGAGTTTTATGTGAATATAACACACTATCAATGGATAACTTATTTGATTTGTTTTACTTATTAATTGCTGGTGTTTTCATATCAGTGGCAGTATTAACGATTGAGTTCATTATAAGTGTTATATTTGATTCAAACATTATTAGGGAGAATAAGTTTAAATCAATGAAAGGTAAGAATCGTAAGAATTTGCTTACGAGAAAGTCGAGAATTGTCCAGGTTAAACCTGCATATAATTAACAATTTGTGAAATAAATTTGCAAATATCAATCCATAAATAAAGTTTTGTTTAAATAAGTAGATTGAAATGATTAATGGAGTAATTATTTTATTATAAAATACAAATACTCGTAGAAATTTAGTAATTTTTATTCATTTAGTGAATCGTTAATGACATTAAATACAAACGAGAATCTCGTGATTAAAACAGTCATTCATTTCAACGCCATTTAAATCATAAAACAAAAAGTTATCGATTTTTCCGACAATTTTCGCGTTTCGTGTATCGCATCGACCGATGTATGTATTAATGTAGGGTTTGGCCACTTTGGCGCCCACCAACAGATGTACTCAATTATAATCGCAAAAGTTTGGGAGAAATTGACAAAAAGAAAAAACGAGTTTTATGTGAATATAACACACTATCAATGGATAACTTATTTGATTTGTTTTACTTATTAATTGCTGGCGTTTTCATATCAGTGGCAGTATTAACAATTGAGTTCATTATAAGTGCTATATTTGATTCACACATTATTAGGGAGAATATGTTTAAATCAATGAAAAGTAAGAATCGTAAGAATTTTCTTACGAGAAAGTCGAGAATTGTCCAGGTTAAACCTGCATATAATTAACAATTTGTGAAATAAATTTGCAAATATCAATTAATAAATAAAGTTTTGTTTAAATAAGTAGATTGAAATGATTAATGGAGTAATTATTTTATTATAAAATACAAATACTCGTAGAAATTTAGTAATTTTTATTAATTCAGTGAATCGTTAGTGACATTAAATACAAACGAGAATCTCGTGATTAAAACAGTCGTTCATTTCAACGCCATTTAAATCATAAAACAAAAAGTTATCGATTTTTCCGACAATTTTCGCGTTTCGTGTATCGCATCGACCGATGTATGTATTAATGTAGGGTTTGGCCACTTTGGCGCCCACCACAAGTGATTGCTCGGGTACGGGATCCTCGCCATGTCTGGGCACCCACTCCACGTTGTCGGCCACCAGTACCTCAAACGTGTCGTTCCCTTTGACGCGAAACTCTTGTCCCCCGTCTGTCAAAACACAACCCAATTGTTTGTCGGCTTTTCCGGCGATTATGTCGTCATTGACTTTATGTCTGCATATATTGAGTGGTGTTTTGTCCGCATCATAACCGGCCACATATGCCTCGCCAGGGATTGTGGTCTGAGTTGCCTCCACCCAACTGTACGTACATTTGGCTGCAAATCATTTCAATTGATTTCTGAATTCATAAAACTTGAACTAAAATTCATACCTTCCTTATGAGAGGTGTTATTAATCGTAAGGATAAATGTCCGGATCTGTTGTGGTGTTAAAGTTACGGCTAGACTACCATTCCTCTCATCACTTCTTATGTGAAAACTTTTATTATAGAGCTTTGATTTCCAGTCCAAACGTTTAGTTTCTGACAGCAACTCATTGGCCACTAAATTAGTTTCGACGGACTCTACAATTGTCAACGTTTTCAGCATTTTCTGTAAATTGATTTCATGGGAAACCTGTTTGTCGGACGTAGAGGACTGGTCTTCCAGTCGAAGTAATACTTCATTTTCGGACCATTTCTCTAATGTTAACAAATGAACGCTTTCTGGCAGTGAATCGCCGATTGATGTAAAACTTGTCACATATTTATCGCTATAGTCTTTGACTGACGAGTATCTGTCAAACGAGACAATGGGTCCCATAAACAGACTTTCGCTCAGATTTCTCATCAGTTGTGGCGACTCTGCGATTGGTTTGATAAACAAGTAGTGTTTGCCCCGTATTTCCAATCCCTTGCCATCAACACCCGGCTCATTCATGTCAAAACTTCCTCCCATTCCTCTGTATAAGACCCTCCGGTGGACCATAAGCTCCACCACCCCTTCAGTCAGCGATGTGCCGCCCTGTGTCCGGTCGTTGAGGACAGTTAGCTGTAAATCTGTTTCATATTCAGATGATTAGAGTTTATATTTAAAATAATTGTAATTAATACCTTGCTTATCATCTCTAATGAAAATTCTGCTGTAAATGGGATAATAATTGCCAGAAATTGTATTATTATTACAAAGGGTTTGGCTTTCATTGAACCGGCGTTTCATGTTTTGTCTCCCATTAGCGTCGGTATAGAAAACGCCATCAGTTTTGAAGTCCGTCTCAAAGCGGGTTATTATCTCTTTGCCGAAGTGGTCGCCGATAGGTATGGGACCCACAGTCCAGTCAAACTCAATGTAGTCCTGGTCCTCATACGTACGTACGGTTTGGTGGATGTAGTCCGAGAACTGTTGGTTCAGCTCATGTATGCCACCATCTGAATGACTGGACACCAGTTTTTGTGGCCCCATGTCATGTGCCGTCCCATTGGGACAGAAGTTATAGCTACCGGAGTCTTCAGTGCCCGGCTGACCATTCAGGCCAATAGACTGATACCATTTGAATGATTGCAATAATTTATGTGTCTTTCCGTTAATTGTTATGGTTTTCAGTGCACCGGATGTCTCGTCCACTTGTAGTGTAAATGACTTTCCTTTCATGTCATTCATAACCACTTTTGTATCGCTATTATCTGTAAATGAATTTCAGACATAACTCAACAAAACCTCTCAAACATAGAAATGAATTCAAAAACAATTCATACGTTTCTCGGTCTTTGTTTTCTCTACAAAATAAGTGGTGAACCCTAGGGCTGGTAACTGAGCTTTAAATACCAGTTCATGAGTGCCTAAACTGCCTTTCCTTTCGGGCAGTTCTCTCACGGCCTCAGATACGGGTAGTAATGCTTTTTGAGATACCGGTGCACCGTTTGCATCAAACACTGCATACACGCCATCAACGACCGGAACTCTGAGGTACTGAGCGATAGGTCTGGCGATTGGGTTATAGACAGTGACCGCAATCCTATCGCTAGTCTCCGTTAGACTGCAATCCGTTATATTCAGTAAATCGCAAAACACTTCACTCGACGCCACTGTCTTTGTCTGGTCCCTGGACTTCAGATAACTGTATGCCTTCCGCATAACCTCTTTACCGGCGGCGTAACCGCTCTGTAGGCGACCCGAGTAGTCGTCGGCCGTAACCTGCGGTGAAGTACCGGTGATGGCGTCGTGATGTGTAAGGACTGCCTGTTCATTACGGGCCTCATCCAGCAATACACCAGTCTTTTTGTGGTCTAATTGTGCCAAAACTTCCAATTGTTTGCTCGCCTTTTAAGCAAAAAGTTTTTGATATCTATTTCATAATCTTTTTTAGTAAACCTATACCTGAAGTAAATTATTGCTGATCCTATCCTGGTATTTAAGCGCCGGTCGACTCGTATAATAGCCGGTCCAGTAGTTGAGATAGTCAACGGCACCCCTTTCCTCGTACGTACGGTTCAACTCATTCATAGCCTTAACGTAACAATTGGGCGACGAGTAGAAGATATCGATGGACGAGGAATAGTTTCGTCGGATTTCGCGGATAAGTGTATCCATATTAGTGTACCAGCGCTGGGCCTCTACGTACTGAAAGTCGTCGCCCATTGTCATCAACACATGATTGGTGTTCCCGTAATCCCGGTTCCATTGCCGCGAGATATTCACAA